GCTGTGGCTGTCATCTTCTGCATTATGGCCACGGCAAAATAAACACAACATGTTGATTTGAAAGGCGGCACTGGCTGTCAAATTCGGTCATTAAATTCGAGGGGCTGCACTACAATTGAGAGCCAAACAATTGGCTTAAGGTTGCGACACATTAGCACCATTATAAAAAAAAAAAACAGCCATTCAGGTGGTGTCAGGATTGTCTTCTGCAAGGGAGAATGATACCAGCACACCAAAGATCACCATATGGGTCCAATGCCTGATGAAGGGGTCCTGCGAGACTCCGAAACATTGTCTTTCTGTAGCTATGTGATTGTTCATTAAACCTTTTGGACCCATATTGGTGATCCTCGCTGTGCTGGTGACATTCTCCCTTGCTGATTCTGCTCGGTTCCAGCCGACGGTCGCTGCAGCACCCACTTATACACACCGACATTTTTAAAGCAGGAACGTGTGCATTTGGATTGTAGACTTGCATTCAGGATTGTCTTCTGAACATGTGACAGCGACTGATTAGCCACACTGCCAAGTCCACTGCGGATTGCTTTTTAGGGCATTGGCTAGTGCGACCCTAGCCTTACGCTCTCACCTCTTCTCAGCTGCAATCTCATTGCCCTCTTCCTGCAATCTCATTGCCCTCTTCCTGCAGTCTCATTGCCCTCTTCCTGCAGTCTCATTGCCCTCTTCCTGCAGTCTCATTGCCCTCTTCCTGCAGTCTCATTGCCCTCTTCCTGCAGTCTAATTGCCCTCTTCCTGCAGTCTCATTGCCCTCTTCCTGCAATCTCATTGCCCTCTTCCTGCAGTCTCATTGCCCTCTTCCTGCAGTCTCATTGCCCTCTTCCTGCAATCTCATTGCCCTCTTCCTGCAGTCTCATTGCCCTCTTCCTGCAGTCTCATTGCCCTCTTCCTGCAGTCTCATTGCCCTCTTCCTGCAGTCTCATTGCCCTCTTCCTGCAGTCTCATTGCCCTCTTCCTGCAATCTCATTGCCCTCTTCCTGCAGTCTCATTGCCCTCTTCCTGCAGTCTCATGCCCTCTTCCTGCAATCTCATTGCCCTCTTCCTGCAGTCTCATTGCCCTCTTCCTGCAGTCTCATTGCCCTCTTCCTGCAGTCTCATTGCCCTCAGTCCTGCAATCTCATTGCCCATGTACTGGGGCAGCAAGTTCTCCGTACTGCATATATACACAGATGGGCATACACCCAACTATGTCAGTATTCTGCGTTTGCACTTACTGCAGATCACACAATATTGACTTTTCATCTCCCCCTGAATGAGGTATTCATGATTTGAAGGTGCCACAGGCAGTGGTGTATTTAAGTTTCGTGCTGCCCTAGGAAACACAACCCCCATGGAGAGACCCTGACACCAGCCAACACCCCTCTTCCCCAGGAAGAGAGCCTGACATTGACCAACAACACCCCCAGTCCCCCGCCCACCCCCACCTGAGAGAGCCTTCCACTACCAGCGCCCCCCATACACTGGCAAACCCCCCCACCATGGCAAGAGATAAGACACCCACCTTCACAGCTCCCTGGGAACAAGAGTCATGCTATGCATCAGGGGCGGACTGACAACTCATGGGGCCCCCGGGCAATAGGGGATCATGGGGCCCCTGTGTCCTTGCCCAACTCAAAAAAGCCTATGAAAAAGGTACCAGGGGCATCTCATGGGGCCCCCTACTGACCCCAGGCCCTCGGGCAGTGCCAGAGTTTCCAAATGGTCAGTCCGCCCCTGCTCTGCATACACCATCAAGCAGCCCACAGCCTCTCTCAGATCCCACCTAGTCCCTGCGCTGTGCGTGTCCCTTCTTCCTTTGCCTCCTGAAAATGCTGCTGCCCCCCTAAAAAAATGCCGCTCTAGGCAACTGCCTTGTTTGCCTTGTGGTAAATAAACCCCTGGCCACAGGCACAGTATGACCTTGACCTTCAGTCATTCAGAATGCCTAAAGGCTGAGGTCATCCTACACATGTTGCTGCTGCCTACATTTTGTTGGTATTTATATGTTGGCCTTGCATTCACTAGCCAATGGCGGTGGTACCTTAGGTCTACTTATGCTGTACAATTTAAACATTAGCGCAAGCGTTTACATGCGTACAGTGTAACATATGGTCAGAACTAGATCATGTGCAATTCCCATTCACTCAGAAGTTACAAAAGTTTAATTTCAATCCATACCCAATCCAGCCCTGTGGAAACAACCCACTTCACCTATGCTGAAGCACAGCTTTAACAGAATAAATGATATTGTGCTTATGGAGGATCTAACCAGCTTTCTCATGCTAGGTTCACACTTGTGCGGTGCGTGACAAAGCATGTGATTTGGATTGGAATTGCACCTCATTGCTATTCAAATCACATGCGCAGGGGCAGACTGACAACTCATGGGGCCCTCAGGCAATAGGAGATCATGGGGCCCCTGTGTCCTTACCCAAACTCAAAAAAGCCTATAAAAAATGTACCAGGGGCATCTCATGGGGCCCCCTACAGACCCCGGGCCCTCGGGCAGTGCCAGAGTTTCCAAATGGTCAGTCCGCCCCTGAACATGCGATTCTTTGCAGTGCGGTTTGAACCCATTCATTATGTATGGCTCAAATTGAACCACACCCGTATGAAAAAGGTTCAGTCATTTTTTTTAATGAAAACATCAAAATAATGTTCTATAAAATATAAAATATTAATGCAGTGCTCAAACTCAAACAAATGATTATCAAAGTATATATAAACGTATAAAAAGTCAAAATAATTCAGTCCTTTTTGTGATCAACACGTGAAGTTACTTCATAATCATAATCATATTCCAATAATCACCACGTGAATATTAGTGAAGCAATCTGAAGTTGTGCCGTGGTTGGCGTTTTGCACTTTTCGGTATATAATTCTCCAAGGAAAAGATCTTTTTCAAGACACAGAATGGATTCCTCCAATGATGGCTCAGACTCTCCAAGATAATAATAACTCTTTCCGATACTCCCAACAAACATCACATAGAAAATAAAAGATAGAGAATCGAGATGGTGCAGTATCACTTGAAACCTTTTATTCTCTGCCCGAGAATGCTACTTACAAGAAGTAAGAAAAAAATCAAGCCCAAAGATGCAAGTGTTTTGGTTAATTAGAAAGGGAAGACCACACAATGCTCTGACCATTGCCGGTCCTCACTCTTGGACAATCCTGTGTCACTTCCGGTCCAGACAATCATCACGTCCGGTCGCCACTCATCCAATATCTGACGCGTTTCGTCACTTCCTGACTTAAACTTTTTATGCACTAGAAATCGATCGCACGTGTGTTTATACCCAATGCGATCTGATTCAGGCAATCGCACTGCTTTTTGTGACCTGTTTTGGGGTGTCGGTAATTTAACATTGTCACCCAAAGCAATCGCACCGCACCCGCATGAAAAAGATTCAGGCATTTTTTTTCATTGTCACCCAAAGCAGATTGCATGAACGCGGTGCAATTTTAATGCGGTGTGGGAATCGCACTGGATTTGCTGCATTTCCCGCACCACATATATGTGAACCAGGGCTCAAGGTACTAACAAAAAATTGCACAATGCCTGGCTTTACTTTACTGACAAAACCACTGATGACTATGAAGCCTTAAAGTGTAACTTCTCCTTTTTGGTTTGTTTGCCTCCTCCCCACCTCCACTTTAACAACGAAAATTCACTCCCCCTTCGTCTGCAGCCTTCTGGTACACATCACAGGTCCCAGAAGAATGTGGCACCATTCACAATGCGCAGCGTGGCTCATACATGCACAGCGGGAAGCTGGCTGTGAAGATGCTGGCGTCTGAATCCAGAGCCCATTGAAAAATTGGCTCAGGGGAGGACAGCGATGAATCCCTAGACATGTAAGCATCCTTATATTACATATCTTTAGCTGGTGACCAGGGCTGGTACTAGACTATTTTTCACCCTAGGCAAGACCAGCTACTTGCGCCCCCCAAAAAAAAAATATATATATATATAAATACAATTTTCTAAAAACAGTAAAAAATATTAAATCAACAAAACATGAAACTGCTAAATTTCTTTTAATTTTCTAAAATAAGTTCCATAAGATGCCACCAGAAACCAAAAAAAAAAAAAAATACCAATATTAAAGACAAAATCAGTGTCACGGATAGACTGTATCTGTGGCTGGCAGGATGACAGCTGCAGTGAGTGGAGGATGATGGATCCACACTTTGAGGCAATGGGGGGAGATAAAACGCTGTGACAGCAGGCAGCCCAGGCCACACACACACAGAGAACGCCTGAACTGAGCGATCCCAACACTGACACAGATCAGCAGGCACTAGAAGAGAAAGCTTTGGGATCGTGATGATGTCATCACTCACTGACACATTGCACATGTGATGGATGGACGGTGGGCCGGGTCACACTCATACAGACATGAGACAGAGTCAGACATTACCTTCCTCCACAGGCACAGCTCCTCCTCCGCTGATGAACGGGAAGAGAAAGGCTGGAACTCCACAGTGATCAGCAGCTGCCAGCCAGCTTGCCGTAAGGGACTGAGTCTGAGAGGAACACTGGAAGGAGCGGCAGTTCAGCTGTTACACTGGCCCTGGACACCTGGCATCTTCCTCTGTCCTCTCTTCCTCCCCTTTGCCACCCCTCTTCTCAGCTGAAGGATCCTTCATGACGTGGCAGTGTCTCACACAGAGTGCCAGCCTGTGCTGTGCCCAGGCGCCCATAGATGGCAGTGTGCCTAGTTTGCCTAGTGGGAGCTCCAGCCTTGCTGATGACAAAAATTGGACGCCTCCCAGGCGGAGAGAGCCTGACACCGACCAACACCACACTCCCCCCACACCTGACAGTGACCAACAACACCCCTGCCCCATCCCCACCCCCAGCAGAGAAAGCCTTCCACTAACACCCCACAGGTCCACAGCTCTGGACATCCCCGGGAATGATAGTCAGGCTCTGCATACACCATCAAGCAGCCCCTCTCGGATCCCACCTGGTCCCTATGTTGCATATGTCCCATATGACCAGAGACTGCGGACATAGTACAGGAGATGACCAGAGACTGCGGACACAGTACAGGAGATGACCAGAGACTGCGGACACAGTACAGGAGATGACCAGAGACTGCGAACACAGTACAGGAGATGACCAGAGACTGCAGATATAGTACAGGAGATGACCAGAGACTGCGGACATAGTACAGGAGATGACCAGAGACTGCAGATATAGTACAGGAGATGACCAGAGACTGCGGACATACTACAGGAGATGACCAGAGACTGCGGACATAGTACAGGAGATGACCAGAGACTGCGGACATTGTACAGGAGATGACCAGAGACTGCGGACACAGTACAGGAGATGACCAGAGACTGTGGACATAGTACAGGAGATGACCAGAGACTGCGGACATAGTATAGGAGATGACCAGAGACTGCGGACATACTACAGACGACCAGAGACTGTGGACATAATACAGATGACCAGAGACTGCGGACATACTACAGATGACCAGAGACTGCAGACATACTACAGATGACCAGAGACTACGGACATACTACAGGAGATGACCAGAGACTGCGGACACAGTACAGGAGATGACCAGAGACTGCAGACATACTGTACTACAGATGACCAGAGACTGCAGACATACTACAGATGACCAGAGACTGCGGATACAGTACATATGACCAGAGACTGCGGACATAGTACAGGAGATGACCAGAGACTGCGGACACAGTACAGGAGATGACCAGAGACTGCAGACATAGTACAGGAGATGACCAGAGACTGCGGACATACTACAGATGACCAGAGACTGCTGACATACTACAGATGACCAGAGACTGTGGAGATACTACAGATGACTAGAGACTGCAGACATACTACAGATGACCAGAAACTGCCGACATAATACAGATGACCAGAAACTACGGACATACTACAGGAGATGACCAGAGACTGTGTACATAGTACAGGAGATAACCAGAGACTGCATACATAGTACAGGAAATGACCAGAGACTGCGGACACGGTACAGGAGATGACCTGCGGACCTTTGGGGAGGGGGGGGTGGGTACCTGAATTTGACAGGTACCCACTCCCCCTTCCTCCCTCCCCATCTTCTGGGACATGTGACAGGTCCCAGAAGACTGCTGGACCATTCACAAATCGCAGCGCTTCTCACGCATGCGCAGTGGGCACTCAGCTGCGAAGCCGCAAGCTGTCACAGCCAGGTGCCCACACTAAAGATGCCGGGGAGAGAGAAGACGGTGAGGACATCGCTGGATCGAGGAACAGGTAAGGTTCTGCTGCATAGAAGCGCTGAGCGGCTGGCCCGGTATTCTGACAGGGCAGTGGTGGGTATACCGGGCCGGCCACTCCATATTCACTCCATAAGACACACGGACATTTCCCTCATTTTTTGGGAGGAAAAAGTGTGTCTTATGGAGCGAAAAATACTATATATATATGTATTTTTTTTTTTTCTCTTTTACATGTAAATTAAATGTATGGTAACCAAAAAAATGTATTCACCTCCTAGCGCAATCTCTGACAAGCTGAATGACAAGCTCATATAATGATGCGGTGAAAGGTGACGTTTTTCTACCTTCCTGACTTCATAATGTCAGCCTATATAAATCAGAGATGGGAGGAATCGCTTTATAAGCTCTTTTGTGTTTCTTCTATCACTTGTAATTAATAAAACAATTCAATGGGATAATCATCCCACGGTGCAAATACAATTATAGCTTGCAACAAGAAGCTTTCACCTTTTGAGCTATTCATTGCGTGTGCATTTCATGGGCCGCTATGTCCCCCCCCGATTTGTGGGAGGGGGAGAGAGGTCACTGTTATTCATGGAAGCCCTAAATGTATGAGGCAATTAGTCTGGGACTGGTAGCATGCCGCAGCTAATAACTGCTCGGCTTAATAAGACTTAAATGCCTCATATGAGAGATGTGGAAAATTCTCTTACCCTGTCCATTATTCTGCAAACGACCCGGCACTGACTGTATTTAGCCTCAGGCTGATTTCACACCACCTCCACTGCATTAAGTGCACATTGACATGCGCTAAACGTATTTATTTGTTACAGGTCTTCATATAGTGTTGTCAATGTATGCAGCGCATTACCTTCTACTTATTCACATCAGTTCCTGCCATCAAGTAGCTTTCAATCTGAGGTCCCTATCTCATAGGCATGCTAGGGCAGATTTATGCCCCGTACACACGATAAGAAAATCTTACGAAAAATTTTGCGGAATCAAACGATTTTCTCTTCGTTGATGAGCAGGATGTTTTAACCGATAACAATATTGTGAACGAAAAAATCCGGTTGAACAACAGTGAAAAATGTTGTCGTTTTGCACAGGAATGACCAATTTTCTATGCGGTGGTATGACGGTCGTACAAAAAAAATCTATCAAGCGCTATCAGGCATGAGCGGAAACAGAAGATGACCCGGATGTTTATGTCCAAGGAATCTTCGTAAACACAAACAAAAAATCCAAATGTTAAAAGTAAATTGGCCGAATGAGATCATGAAACCAGAATTGTGCAGATTAGATTTTATGTATCACTATTTATGTATATAGGTCATGTAATAAATGATATTATACTCATTGCTGGTAATCGCTCGTTCTGTCCGGAAGGGCGTGATATATATTTTTTGTAACTATATTCTTCAGATTTTTTTTAACATATAAAAAAGTCAAAGTCATTTTTAAAAATATATTTTTTAAAATATATTCTTAAGATTTTTTTTAACCTATAAAAAAGTAATTTTAACATATATTTTTACATATATTTGTAAATGCATTCCAAAAATATAGATTTGTATTTTTAAAGACATACAGTATATTTGAAATGTATTTTGTAAACATATTTTTCAGATATTCTGTAATAAAAACTCATTTCAACATGCAGTATACATATATTATATATATATTGAAATCTAATTTGAAATATATTGAATATGGCCAAAAAGTTTGCATTTTAAACATATGGCAATATATTTGGAAAGAATATTTTTTTTTTATTTGGGAGAGTGCATGTAATCATTACAGGGCCAATCAGCACTGTCCAGACAGAGGGTCAGGGGTTTCACATCCTCCTAGAGCAGAAAGAAAACTCCTCCTACAAGCTTTAACCAGTGTTCTGCTGAAGTCACAAGACTGCCCTAACTGCTGATGAGAAAAGGTATCTAGCAGTTTATATTTACTAAAATAATTGCATTTCCATGTTCTGTATACTGTGGGAGACCAGATATGGTGAATGCAGGGTCCTAGGTTTAGTAACACTTTAAAGCAGTAATAAACCCAAAAGGAAATATTGATTATTATTATTATTATTTTTATTAAGCAACGTACCATATCTTAGATGTGGTGGCTACATTGCTTTTCCTTTTTAATCTTTCTTTCTTTTATTTTCACATGATGATCCAGGCAGCAAGTCTGTTGTTTTTCAATAGAACAAGCTGTTCTGCAAATGTAGCAGTTAGAGTGTTGAGACAAACCATTTACCATTGACCGGGGTGTTTACAATGATTTATGTGAAACCTTTATCCAAAAATGAAAAAATGTTGCTGTAACTGCAGTGTGAGCTGGAATTTAGCTTCAATTTGTTAGTGAATCTAAATCTGCTAGTATATCCAACACTCCCCTCCCCCCAGACTGACAATGCTACTGCTCAAAGGTACCCCTGTGCTCCTTCATCCAGAGTGGGGGGCATTCTAATACAGGAAGTGTGTTACAGATCAGAACACCAGATGAAAACAGAGGAAAGAAAGCCTAAAAAAGAACGCTAATGCAGCCATCACTTCAAATGATTGGTAAGCTGCAATATATTACATTTTTGGTTTGGAGTTTAATAATAATGTAATAACTGCCATTTTTTAATAAAATAGTGTTTTCAGTTTTTTTTTTTTATCCTTTTCTATCTCATTGCTGCAAGTCTCCTCCAGCTTCGTATTCTCAGTTGCACTGGATGAATAATAATATATAGATATATACAATAGATATTATATCTAATTGCTGTAGACTGGCCTGGTACAAACCATGGGGGACCATGCCTGAGTAATGTATGTTGGCATTGCCTCTAGTAGTCTTTGCCAGAGGTGCATGTGCAAATGCAAAATGTCTGAACGCAGGCAGGATCTACAGGTATTATTTTAATAATAGCTGCATATCTGAAAAAACAAAACAATACTAAGAACAATTTCTGAAATAACATGAACATGCTCATATGAGATTTTAGGATTGGGATTAGATATACTTTGAATTACACTTCCACCATTACCCAGTATGAACAACCTGCCAGCTATGTGGCTTTCACTCTTGGGGGCTATGGGGGTTACTCAGAAGGCAGGAGGAGCCTGAGAAGAGGAGGATTGGGCTGCTCTGTGCAAAAAAAAAAATCTTCATCACCCCCCACAAGTAGTACAGTGTCACTATGGAGACACTGTACTGCTAGGGAGATAGTATGTTAAAAAAACACATAAATAATAATATAAAACAAAAAATAAAAATGTAAAATAAAATGTTGAAAAATTATAATTTTTGGTTATAAACTAATTTATTTATTTTTTTTACTAAAAAGATAGCTGAATACATTTTGGCCAAGATTTATGAAGAAAAATATTTTTTATTTGCAAAATTTTATAAGATGTTTCAAAATGTTTGGACTTTTTCATTTATATAGCAAAAGAAATAAAAAACCCAGTGGAGAATAAATACCACCAAAATAAAGTTTTATCTGTCTCAAAAAAACTCATATGGGTACATTGTTGCATGAATGCGCAATTGTCATTCAAAGTGTGATAGCGCTGAAAGCGGAAATGGCCTGGACAGGAAGGGGGTGAAAGTGTCTGGACTTGAAGTGGTTAATTAATCCCCTCACTTTGAGAGCCACCAGTGGATACTTTGCGTGGCTGTTAGCTCTCAATCCCAGCTGTCACTGATATTCTGGAACCAAGTCGGTCCTGATTATGTGAACACTAAGCCATCTTTGACAGATGAACACTGCCACCTATTTCATAGTATAATCATCCCATACAACTGAATAAAAAAAAAAATAGTAATACGTTAAATTTTGCACATTTGTCAGCCCTATAATAAAAAGGAAAAAAACAGTACCAATTACCAAAAAAGACTAATATCCCTCCCAAAAATATAAAAATTATTTAGGCATGTAACTTAGTAAAGGTGTTAAGTTTTATTCCTCCCAGGGGCAGACCGACAACTCATGGGGCCCCCGGGCAATAGGGGATCATGGGGCCCCTGTGTCCTTGCCCAAATTCAAAAAAGCCTATGAAAAAGGTACCAGGGGCATCTCATGGGGCCCCCTACTGACCCCGGGCCCTCGGGCAGTGCCCGAGTTCCTAAATGGTCAGTCCGCCCCTGCGCAGGTCAGTCCGCCCCTGATTCCTCCTCACCTTAAAATTCTTGGCTATATTTTCTTGTTGCCCCCCCCCACCAAGTCATGCTCTGTTGTTTCTATACCCTGTACTGAATGGCCAACAAGACTGCTGTATGCAGGTTTGAATTAGTGGCCAGGGGCGGACTGACCATTTGGAAACTCGGGCACTGCCCGAGGGCCTAGGGTCAGTAGGGTGCCCCATGAGATGCCCCTGGTACCTTTTTCATAGGCTTTTTTGAGTTTGGGCAAGGACACAGGGGCCCCATGATCCCCTATTGCCCGGGGGCCCCATGAGTTGTCAGTCCGCCCCTGTTAGTAGCTCTGTATTATTAGTATATATCTCTGCTTTATACCAGAGGTTCTTGATGTACAGCTATGGGGCATACATTAATTGCATATCTCTGCCCGTTATCCTAAAATGAGGAATGATCCCCTTATATTTGACATATGTGATAGAAAAACACATGCAAATACCTTCTGTTCTAAGAATTTTCTACTGTGCTCTCTGTAACACAGATGATATAGAGCCCAAACCAAACACAAAACGTCTGTGCTCAGTGGGGAGGTACAGCAGCTAGCAAAGGAATCAATATATGCCACTTTCAATAAGCATGTGAACAAATTACAATTTATTTAGAGACAATATAGTGCAACAAACATACAAAAAGTATAAAAAAAAAAAAATACAATCATATAATCATTAACAGCTTGCCGACCCTCACAGGCTCACAGTAAATCTTCTGCGAGTGGGCAGCACAGGCAGGTTTGGTGGTGTACTGGTTGCTTGTGTATATGAGCACTAGCACGCCCCCTGGGGTATGAAGGAGCACGGTCCTGTGACTGATGTGTCCACCAAAAAAAAAAATCTTAAAAATTTGAATAAAAAATTCATACTTTTTTTTTTTTTTTACATACTGTCACCAGTCGTATCCCTGATCACTGTCACACCAGTCGTAATATGATGCTGTACTGCACTGGTGGCAGTATGTAAAAAAAAGTGAAAAAAAACCAAATTTTATTT